CCTCCTACATCCATTACCATTAAACCGCCAGTGCAAGCAAAAAAGAAAGGGACCGGAAAGCGAATTAAAAGCCAATGAGAGTTAGCCATTGAGCGAAGTGGCAAGGCATGCAGAAAGTGCGGGGTGTGTAGTGTGTACGCGCATCATAATGCCCGCAGATACCCGTTGAAGTGATTAGTGCACCCGTTTGGTCCATTCCATTAATTATATTTTTTTGTCCTTCATTTCTGGTTATTTGTAAAGACATTGTAGTTTTGGTCCATTCTATTAATTATATATTTTTACCACCCATTTCTGGTTATGAATAAAGTCATTAGAGTTTTGGTCCATTGTATTAATTCATTTGAATCATCACTAGTTATTAGTACGACATTGTAGTTTTTCTAGTTATGAATAAAGCCATTAGAGTTTTGGTCCATTATACTATTTCATTTGAATCATCTATTAATCGTACATTTATATCACCCATTTCTAGTTATGAATAAGGCCATTAGAATTTAGGTCCCTTATATTAATTCATTTGACCTGTGCTGCATATTGTGCATTACAATGGGTTTGTGCTTTATATTTGCGGAGCGATACCACATCATTACCAATTTCAAGCGACACGACATTGTCATTTGTAGCGATACTAGAAAGAGATATGTTTTGCATACTATGCATTGCAATGGGTCCGTCTAGCGATACCACATAATTACCAATTCCAAATGACATGACAATGCCGTTCGTAGTGATACTTGCAATGAATATGTCAGTTTGCTACTCATTTAGCATGACATCCTTTATAGAACATATAAAGTTACTGTTGGTTAATAGTGAGTTATCCTGTGTTCATTTCTTTATGTCATGTTGTTATGCACATTGTTGCACCAAAAAGCCGGGACCCTACATCAGTTCAATAGATTTTAATTTATTGGGGGTAGGACAGTTGCATTGTTTGAAAACTATTGCATTTGGCTCCGGCCATACAATAAACTACAGTGGTAAACAACGGAAATCATATTGTCCCCGCTAATGCACTGGTACATTAGTAAGCCAACAACCTTCACCACTAAAACTAACATCCAACCCCTCGACTACTGCTACGCTATTTAGATTATCCATTTTTCTACCTCACATCAAACATTTACTTAACTGCTCCTGTCAGTAGTTGTTCGGTCCTATGCCGGTCATACTCCCCTGCTCGTGTGCAACTACTAGGTTGTCAGACTTACATATGAATCCGGAGGTCGCACAAGTGCAACTACTAGGTTGTCAGACTTACATATGAATCCGGAGGTATAACATATTTGAGTTGTGATTAAGTGTTTCCAATTCAAATGCTGAATTATTAAAAAAACATTTTGCTATTACATAGAATAAGAAAATTATATGATAATCTTAAATTATTAAGAGGCCATATTTAATGACCGTGCATCACACGTGTTTATAAAATATACAAACACATAATAACTTCAAAAAAATATGTATAAATACATCTACCCACACAATTAATACATTCATACTTGCTAATCTTGTTTCTATCAAAATGCATACACATTTTGGAAGGAAAATTTTGTGGCTAGATTGTGCTTTATTATATATAAAGATATATATGTATATATATATATATACACACACACACACACACACAGATATATATATATATATATATATATATATATATATATATATAGGGATGCACTCAGGTGCGAATAACTGCCCAGGAAGGAATATGAGAACGAATCAGCGCGCGACACGTGTCCAGATCTAATAGCTTAAAAAAATGCGGTGGCATTTTCGTAAATAATTAAACATCTAAGTGCAAGTAAAATCACTAACAAGTGCACCTACTTTTACCTATAAGTGCATGTAATTTTGCCTTGTTAGCATTCACTTCCATCAAATATTCATGCACCTGGGTGTGCTTATAACTATAGGTGCAACTACTTATAACTATAGGTGCACTTACTTTCACTTATAAGTGCATGTAATTTTGCCTTGTTAACATTCATTGATCTGAGTTCAGCGGGTAGTAATACCCCTGAAAACCACCCCAAACATTCATGCACCTAGGTGCAACTACTTATAACTATTTGTGCAACTACATAGAACTATAGGTGCAACTACTTAGAACTATAGGTGCACTTAGTATTGATTCTCAGTGTAAATTTTTTACTTGCACTTATAATACATTTTACTTGCACTTCGATGTTCAATTATTTACAAAAATGCCACCGCACCTGACAACATGGCCATATATATATATATATATATATATATATATATATATATATATATATATATATATATATATATAGGGGTGATCACATGTGGCCATGTTGTCAGGTGTGGTCATATGATCAATTATAGGTCATTAGATTAGATAGATCCAATGAATCATATTAATCAAGATTTGTCCAGTATTTTCGCACATTCTCCTACCCTGCGAACTGCAAGGGTAAACTCGTCACAAAACACCGGAATAGGGAAAATCACATTGTTGTATGTTTTATTACACTATTGGTGCATGTTGTCAACAATGTTGGTGTATTCTGGAACCCTGCCGCTATAAATGGCCACTGTAATTACCATAATACGGGAATACACTATTGGTGTGTTTTATTACACTATTGATGTATATTGTCAACACTGTTGGTGTATTCTAGAACCCGTCAGCTATAAATGGCCAATATAATTACCATAACATCCCCACTTACCAAAACGCGTGAAAATCCTCATAATTACCACTGCCGTTAGATTAAACTGATTCAACGACACAGGTACGATCACACGACCACACCTAATGACATTACCACATATGAGCACTCTTATATATATATATATATATATATATATATATATATATATATATATATATATATATATATATATATATATATATATATATATATATATATATATATATATATAGCTTTTCTGGTGCACACCGCTACTAAAATGTGAATGAGTGTACTGATGTGGTGCACTGATTCGGGCGATCTGATGGTGGAAAATAGGGGTTAGTATAGTTCCCGTGCACCATCATGTAGGTGTGCATATTTTGAATTCTATCCGTGCATTTTTTTTGCGTTTTGTTTTTTTCATTTCTTTGTTTTGTTTTTGTTTTTGTTTTTGTTTTTTTTTTTTGTTTTTGTTTGCGGTGGCGATTTGCAGCCCTGATCGACTGGGCGACGCGATGAGTAGGAACGAACCGGCGACCACCGTATCTAGCCGCCGGTGTTGCCGCGAGCCCGGAGTGACGCTGCTGCAACCACCCCGTTGTGATCGCATGGGAGAGATAGCAGGTCCGCTTCCTAATGGGGTTTGTTTTATTTTTTTTTCCTCCCTGCTCATCCTGATCGCCCGAATTCATTGCGCCTGGCTGCAATTCTGCGTCTACATGTTGTGGAGCAGGAGGGTGATAATGTGATATACCCTTAGAATTACTGTGCTTACATTTTTCTTATATTAAAATTAATGTGCTTAGCATTCCTGGAACCTAAATCTTACACTCACATTTTTCTTTTATTTTGTATTTGAAGTTTGGTTTTATGTATATAGTTGCAACTTAATTTCAGTTTAAATTGTGATAAAATTAATAAAAGCAGTGCAATATATCGTTGAGAATACCATGAAATTAATCTTGGGCAGTGCGAATGAGTGCAAATTAATTTTAGGTTTTTGCCCCTCATGATGTTGTACATGCTCCTACTACAGATGGCAGGGAGCGGAAGAGTGTGGACACAGGTGGGTATATCACTGTACCAGTCAAATATTGGTGGCCTACTGTGGATTCCGCAATTACACCGGCTGTCGGGCACCGCTTCAAAACACTAGTAGAAGGCGTACATTTTTACATCAACTATGCACGAATATGTGGCTTCTCTGTGAGGCACAGCACACTAAAGCGAGGTCGTGATGGCAAAGTCACCACGCGCTACTTATTATGTAGCCGGGAAGGTGTAAAGGGTGGTGGTAGGAACATGATAAACCCTGTAGAGGGTGGCAGTGGTGGTCAGAGCACTCAACGTAGGAAACAGGTGTCCAATCGGTTAAATGTAATGCTCGGATTTGTATCATGCTCCAAAAGGGAATGGTGTTGCCATTGCAGCTTTGTGTGGTGTGCAGCCTCCTACATCCATTACCATTAAACCGCCAGTGCAAGCAAAAAAGAAAGGGACCGGAAAGCGAATTAAAAGCCAATGAGAGTTAGCCATTGAGCGAAGTGGCAAGGCATGCAGAAAGTGCGGGGTGTGTAGTGTGTACGCGCATCATAATGCCCGTAGATACCCGTTGAAGTGATTAGTGCACCCGTTTGGTCCATTCCATTAATTATATTTTTTTGTCCTTCATTTCTGGTTATTTGTAAAGACATTGTAGTTTTGGTCCATTCTATTAATTATATATTTTTACCACCCATTTCTGGTTATGAATAAAGTCATTAGAGTTTTGGTCCATTGTATTAATTCATTTGAATCATCACTAGTTATTAGTACGACATTGTAGTTTTTCTAGTTATGAATAAAGCCATTAGAGTTTTGGTCCATTATACTATTTCATTTGAATCATCTATTAATCGTACATTTATATCACCCATTTCTAGTTATGAATAAGGCCATTAGAATTTAGGTCCCTTATATTAATTCATTTGACCTGTGCTGCATATTGTGCATTACAATGGGTTTGTGCTTTATATTTGCGGAGCGATACCACATCATTACCAATTTCAAGCGACACGACATTGTCATTTGTAGCGATACTAGAAAGAGATATGTTTTGCATACTATGCATTGCAATGGGTCCGTCTAGCGATACCACATAATTACCAATTCCAAATGACATGACAATGCCGTTCGTAGTGATACTTGCAATGAATATGTCAGTTTGCTACTCATTTAGCATGACATCCTTTATAGAACATATAAAGTTACTGTTGGTTAATAGTGAGTTATCCTGTGTTCATTTCTTTATGTCATGTTGTTATGCACATTGTTGCACCAAAAAGCCGGGACCCTACATCAGTTCAATAGATTTTAATTTATTGGGGGTAGGACAGTTGCATTGTTTGAAAACTATTGCATTTGGCTCCGGCCATACAATAAACTACAGTGGTAAACAACGGAAATCATATTGTCCCCGCTAATGCACTGGTACATTAGTAAGCCAACAACCTTCACCACTAAAACTAACATCCAACCCCTCGACTACTGCTACGCTATTTAGATTATCCATTTTTCTACCTCACATCAAACATTTACTTAACTGCTCCTGTCAGTAGTTGTTCGGTCCTATGCCGGTCATACTCCCCTGCTCGTGTGCGAATATTGTGCATGTTGCCATTCACCGTGCAAAGCAAGATGTTGTGCAGAAACCTCTTTCGCATATTTTCAATCTCCCCGGGACCTCCCGTCCCCAGACCGCACTGCCAACATCTGGGATCCTGTCCAACAAAAGCTTCCATGTGTCTCATTGCGTAGACTCCGGAGTCACCGTTGGTGGGGGTGTCAGACAACGCCAACTGCATCCTCTCGGGCTGCATGTTCCTCAAACATAGAGCCCTGGCAATGTGCTGTTTTCTGTCTAAATACGCGGCCAGTAGGTCCCTCTACAATCAATCATTAGTTCAAAAGGGGCATGAGTATACTTAAACAATAACATGCAGTGTTGAGCGTGCGTGATGTTTACCAATTCCTCCGGCATTATACCATACATCACTATACCCATGTTTGCCGTGGACGAGCTGTCTATGATGACAAACGCGGCATGCTTGAAACTGATACACATCACGTAAAACTGTGCCTTGTGGAATATGGGGAAGAAATACTGCACGACACAAGTTAGCGGTGTTAGACTACGCTCGTGGTTTTGCGTTACCAATTAGATGCCCTAATTTGAACACGTTTGATGGCATACCATGTCCAACGTGGCTGTCCCCACGTGGTTAGTGGTCTGGAATTCCGCGTCAAGACGACGTCGAAACCATGATACCCTCTCATCCCGACTGGCTGAGATGCTCACCACCGTCCCAATCTGCCACATATAAGAGTTAGTGGCTATATAACACTGAAGTGCTTAAACTCTATAAAATCAGTGGTGCATTTCTGTATTCCTTATGGTAGTTGTGCATTCCTAATTGTGTTTGATTGTGCATTGCTAGGTGCTAAAACTCTATAAAATCGGCGGTGCATTTCTATATTCCTTATGGTATTTGTGCATTCCTAATTGTGTTTGTTTGTGCATTGTTGGGTGCTAAAACTCTATAAAATCAGTGGTGCATTTCTGTATTCCTTATGGTATTTGTGCATTCCTAATTGTGTTTGTTTGTGCATTGTTGGGTGCTAAAACTCTATAAAATCAGTGGTGCATTTCTGTATTCCTTATGGTAGTTGTGCATTACTGGGTGCTAAAACTCTATAAAATCAGCTGTGCATTTCTGTATTCCTTATGGTATTTGTTTGTGGGAACTAGTGAATGGTGTATTTGTGCATCCTTGAGTGCAGTTGTGCATTCCTAATTGTGTTTGTTTGTGCATTGTTGGGTGCTAAAACTCTATAAAATCAGTGGTGCATTCCTGCATTCCTTATGGTATTTGTTTGTGGGGTCTAGTGAATAGTGCATTTGTGCATCCTTGAGTGTAGTTGTGCATTCCTAATTGTGTTTATTTGTGCATTGCTGGATTAAGGTATTACATATTTTTTTGTTGACTGTTTCGAACAGAGTTAAAATAAAATTGCATGAATCACAATACCGTGCGAATATGAATGCACATCGATGCATCCTGGAAGTTAGAACCAGCATGCAAAATCGATGCACCGCACATGTTCGAACCTGTTAATACCCGCACCTGCTAAGCTGGCCGAACCTGTTAATACCCGCACCTGCTAAGAATTGGGAAATGCAGTATTAAAAATAGTACTCACAATTCGGAATTTGACAAACTAATGCAAAGAGAACTACAAATTAAAGAGAAGGAAAAACTAAACAATTTAATAATGAATTATGATAAAGCAAATAAACTAGAACTCGTCATTTAACACTATAATTAAGCAATGCAATTAAGCTTTGAAATTAAATATGCAATGTAATTAAGCTTTGTACTTAAGCATTAAACAGGTTAACAAGCTCTGTATTTAAGGAAAATATAATGTTAATTACTCAACCAACTTTAGTTTTGCAGTAGGCAACCATAATTAAATTATAAAGAATTGCAGATAAAGCCGAACATGAAAATAACTCCAATTAAATAATCATTAAGCAATGTAATCTAACTAAGCAACACTACTCTCAGATTCGGAACAAAAATGCTTGGAATTAAATTCCCAAAAGAAAGACAAGAGGAAAAAGAACGAGAAACTTGCTCGACTACTGCCGAACTGTACACTCCTTTCACCATCTTAACACCCAAAGCCAGTCATCATCACCAATTCCATCAAAATTCACTCTGAAATAGTTCCGGTCTGGCCCTGTGTGAAATTTAATACGGCAACCTAATGTAGCTACGAGCAATTCTAATAAAGCAATAACTGTACAGAGAAGTGACAACACTTGCAGAATTTACGACATTGCACCATGTAGCGAGTGCTCTAGATAACCTACGTCTTTCTTTGCATTTTACTAACAAATTAACGGATCACAAATCCTTGAATTTAGAGAACCCAACGTTCTGCATGTAAGCTGTTTTTTATTTTTTATTTAAATGTAAGCACAAGTGAAAAGTCTCTGAGAATAGCATTTGACAAAATTTAATAAATTAATAACCCTGCGCATTTTTTATTGCGATGAATGCACTGCCATTTAAATGCTATAATTTAGGACCTTTCATGTCTTGATCATAATGTTTTCACCTTGTTTTATTTCTATGAACTGCTTATTCCTGGTGTAACTACACATGATGTGAATTTGTATACAAATAGCATTTGATAAATTAATTGGACTAAGATTCCTATCATTGGCAAATTTAGTACTTTTCCCGTTGATAGAATGCATCCTTCTACATAAGGCTATAACTAGGCATCAAACTATCTATCCCACAACTTCAGTACTTAATTATTCATTCAATTTAACTGTGAAAACCCTAAAATGAACCGCCATTCAATGGATTTATAATCTATTTTGACCCCAAAATTCCATATTAATCGAGAGATACAGGAAGTCCACTAAAGCTATACGGCATTCACAAGTGTAACTATACATGATGTGAATTTGTATACAAATAGCATTTGATAAATCAATTGAACTAAGATTTCTGTCACTGGAAAATTTAGTACTTTGCCAGTTGATAGAATGCATCCTTCTATATAAGGCTATTCCTAGGCATCAAACTAAAATGAACTGTCATTCAATGGATTTATAATCTATTTTGACCCCCAAAATTCCATATTAATCCAGAGATACAGGAAGTCCACTAAAGCTATGCGGCATTCACAAGTAGATACATCAGCAAAAACCTAGCATACAAATTCCAATCACTAAGCAATAACTGACACACCTTCTAATTGATTCTAATTAGAGTTTGAAGAATCAATAAACCCGGAAGAATGACCCAAAAACAAATTCAATCACTAAGCCATAACTTACACACATTCAAATTGATTCTAATTAGAGTTTGAAGAATCAATAAACCAGGAAGAATGACCCAAAAACAAATTCCAATCACCCCACAACCCCCAAAAAACGCCACTGCCACTGCCCCCTAACCCCGTAAACCCACAATACATAGAAATTGCAGGTAGAAAAACATAGAACCCATAGGAAGATGCACAAACCTCGCATGCCCCACCGGTGCGCGATCCGTCTCCGTGCAGACACTCTAGACGCTATCCCGGGGACAGCCCGTACGAAACTGACGCGATCAGGTGTCGTCGGAGACTGACGCACGGACCGGCGTCTGAACGCCCGGGACGCCTCCGCGACCCTGTGCAACGAAGCCGACGGCGGAGTCGTCGGCTAGAACGAATGACGAGACCTACCCTTCCTAGAACGGCGGCTGCCACTAGACTGAGTCATTTGCGTATCTCACCACTCACCTCGCGATACGACGCCTCCACAGAGCTATTCTGAGTGTACCGCCAACGGAAACGAAACATACAACACCCGCCCCCCCCTAACCCCAGCCAAATTACAAATTGGCTCCCCCACACAATGCGCCACAAATAAATGGTGAATGTGGCAGGGTACACTGAGTGCGTGTGCACTTAGATCAGCCCAAACGCACGGTCAATAGGAGTGCACACGTACACACGTAGAAATTTACATCTGAACTTTTACCTCTATATATATATATATATATATTATTTGTAGATTTTACTTGTTTTATTTTAAATTTTGAATAAAAAAAAGTTCGCGGACCGGCCCGATGGGCCCGACAACCTGCATGGGGCGGACTTTGATTGCATGAACCCTAACTTGCGGGTTTGGTGGGAAGACTCGCAAAAGCCCACAAAAAATTAGACCCGAAAATTTTTGCATGTACATCTCTTGGAAAATGACTTCCCTCAATGAAGGGAAGTCATTTTCCCCTAAAACATACCTATTTTCTTTTGAATAATGCTTCATTTTCCATTGACTTCATTTTCTCCCATCTTGCCAAACACTGAAAACTCGGAAAATATTTTTCGGAAGTCATTTTCCGGGTTTCCAAACGCACCCTTAGTTGTTATTCAGAAAGTTGGATAACAACGAATATGAACATGCAAATAAAAAGATGATATTTGTTTATTTTACTCGAGAAAAAGATATATAAAAAAGAAAATTAAAACATACAACTACAAAAATTTATGTTATAGTGTTCTCTATAGAATCCACCATCAAGAATAATGTTCAGATTTCCTTAAAACTGATTTGTTTCCTCGTAATGTGCTAGGAGCGTTTAAGTTTTAATTTTTTAGAATACAATGAATTACAACATTATATTTGAACACTAAAATGTATATGTTCTCAACTAACTTGAACAAAGATAAACATATACACTTTGAACTTAATTTATACGGAACTGCTGGTAGAAATTTAAGGTTAGAATGAGTTTTTTTTATGGGAAGAAAATAAGAATTTTGAGGTGTCAAAAGTTCTTAGACGTTCTACCCAATTCAATTCATCATTAGCATTCATGATTGACAAATTAATAAAAACAAATTTAATGTTAAAATTCAAAAATTTCATAAGGTCAAAATCCTGAAAAAGTTGAATTGTACTTATACTAGGGCAAACCTACATCCATTTCCAATGCGGGAATAGTGCTACTTAAAAGTCTTCCTAACTCCATTTCTCATAACTCAAATGACTACGTATACTTTGAGAATCAATTTCTAATTCATCCATTATTCATCTTGAGCGTATAATAATATATCAAATTCATCATCTCAACTAGGAGAACCCGAATCTAATTTAACCTAATTGAAATCAGAAGTAGACCTACTTAAAATTATAACTCAAAATGATCACTTTAAATGTCATTTTTAGTAAATTTTTAATACAAATACCTTATAAAAATAAATATTAATCCACAAAATGTATGCTAGTTAATGCATGTGACGGTAAATATGTCACCGGGAATATTATTATGAGACTAATAAGTGACAATAGTATTTGCTTTGTGTTTCAGTACAGTATATTGAACGTGTCCTCCCAAGCTAAGGGGAGCATCTACTTATACAAGGGTGCTAACGGTAACAACATGGGACATAAATGGGGAGTTAAGCCTTTAATTCTCTCTCATCAATGGTGGCTTCAATAGCAATAAAGGTGACACCTGTTGGAATTTTGTCCGTTGGAGTTCTGTCCATTGGGTTTCCATGTGGTGCCGGGTCAAATATGGTGTCGGTCAGATGCTCACTTATGATCCGGGTCGGGTGCCATCCCTATTATCCTGTCACCAGTCCCCCTACTCCTGAGTCTACGGCTGTGTTTGAGTTGACTTGGGAGTAAAGCTGAATCTATCTTGATACTGCGCAGAATCCTAAGTGAGTTAGGATATGTGATTTTGTTTTCCAAATCATCCTTTCCTACCTGAGCCATTTGAGCACCTCTCTATCAGCTCTTGTCACCCTCTGTCAGTTTCTGCGGTTTATCGTTACCATTTATTTATCTTTGGGCTGAGGCGCGTGGCTTTGGCCCGTTTTTTTGTAGAGTGTAGTGACAGCCGTGGTTGATCGAAGGTGGTATTGAGAATCTTTTATTTGAGCAAAGTAACCTTGGCAAACCATGATTACAAAATATTGTGACTTTGAGAAAATAACTTGAGCGGAGTAACCTGGCGGACCATGATTACTAAATACTGTTTACAGGTCTGGGCAGACCACGACTACAAAGTATTACTGATAATATCTAATTAAATGTTTAGAGTTCCATACCTGATCGATCATCCTTGCAGATGGTGTGGACTTGTAGATCCTTTCTGCTAATCCTTTTGCATGCTTTTATGTAACAACTGCGGGCTGCTCGCTGGTCTCCTCTGACGAAACCTATCCCATTCGGAGTAGGGAACTTCATACACAAGTGTTCCACCGACACTATGGCCTTGAGGTCCTCCAATGCCGGCCTCCCCAATATGATGTTGTGCGCACAAGTGAGTCTTACCACGATGAATTCCACGTCAAGTTTGCGAATGTTAGGGCTCGTGCTTATCTCTACTGGTAAGACCACTGACCCCTCCGTCTCCACTGAATCACCCGTAAATCCAGAGAGTGGGGTACGTACTTCTTTGAGCTGGTTTCTAGGTGTCCATAACTTGGTGAAGGCATCATAATACATCACATTGACTGAGTTTCCCGTGTCGACTAAGATGTGGCGGACAATGACATCGTTGACATCCATCTTAATCACCAGGGCGTCACGATGGGGTAACGGGCCCTCTGGGAGGTCATCATCAGAGAAGGTGATGGCCTCCTGTCTCTGTTTCTTTTCTCTGGGAAGACTCACCACTTCTCCCACGTATAGCTGCCGGCTCCACTTCTTTCTTTCCGCGGGCTTGTCGCCCCCTGCGGGTCCACCATAGATAAAGTGTATGGTGTGCTTCTTTTTTCATCTAGGCGCCACCTCGGTTTCTTTCTCGCTATCATTCTGCTCATATATTTGGTCGTGTTCTCTTTTTTTGGCGTTCGAGGTGGACGGCTCGGTGCCATCCTCATTCCTCCAGACATTTTTTGGTGGATTGTGTTGTGGCTGTTGCTGCTGCTTGGATCGCTTGACGAAATGTCGGAAGTAGCCCTGCTGGATGAGTTCTTCTATTTGTCTCTTCAAAACGTGACACTCATCCCTATCGTGGGCGGCTTGCCTATGAAAACTGCAGTACTTTGTTTCGTCTGCCTTTGGGGAGACCTTCATGCACTCCTCGGGGAATTCTACAATTCCCATCTCCTCAGCTTGCTTTAGAATGACACTGACGGGATGGGTAAGAGGAGTTAAATTACGCAAGGGGATCAGGCGAGGTCGTTCGTGGTCTCGGCCTTTCCCTGCGGTCGGGTGGTTCGAGAGTGGTGCCTGGCTGGGCGGACCAGCTTTCCCAGGCTTCCCACCTTTCCTACCATCCTCTTCGTCATTCTTCTTCCTGTCGATGTCCTCTGCTTCGGCATAGCGGCTATCCGTCCTCATCAGATCTTTGTAAGAGCGGGGGTGGTGGGCGTTCAGCTGCTTGTGGAAATACCCTGATCTTAAGGCATGGATAAATATCGGGATCGCCGCCTTGGAGTCGAAGTCGTAGACATTATTGACTTCCTTTTTCCATTTGATCAGGAAGTCTTTGAGGCTCTCGCCTCTATCTTGCTTCACTACACAGAGGTGAGAGAAGGGTTTCTTACGCTGTATGCTACCGGAGAAGTATGTCAGGAAGCTCTTGGACAACTCCCCAAAGTTTTGGATCGACCCATCCGGGATGATGTTGAACCAGTCTTGGGCCGCTCCATCCAGGGTGGACATGAACGCTCGGCACATGATGGCGTCCCCTGCCCCGATCATTACCATAGCAGCTTTGTACCTCGTCATATGGACACGTGGGTCAGTGGCCCCCGTGTACTCCTTGATGGCGGGCAACCTAAAGTCCCTCGGCAAAGGTACGTCCATGATGCTTGGGGAGAATGGTGCTGCCATCCGTACCTCAGGTTCCGGCGACTGCTCCCGTGCCTCCACCCTTCTTGCTAACTCCTCGATTCATCTCTGCAGCCTCTCGACCAGGGCCGACTCGTCAGGGTGCCGGCGCGGGGCAGGCTGCCGCTCCTCCATGCGTCAGCGTGGAGCTAATTCATCGACGTGCCGTCCATCTGAGTGTCGACGCGGAGCTGGTTCCACGACATTCCCTCTATCCAAGTGTCGGTGTGGAACCCGCTCATCAGCGCGTCGCTCCTCCGCCGAGTGCCGACGCGGAGCCGGCTCATTGACCCGTCGCTCCTCCAAGTGTCGACGTAGGGCCGATTTATCAATGTGTCGACGTGGGGTCGGCTCCCGTGACTGGCCCACCTCCTTTGTGGGTGATCTCTCGGCTTCTCTGTTTTCGTGTTGGCGAGGGCCTCTGGTAGAGGACCCCTCGGCCCATGATCCTAATCTTTGCCGCACGGGCGCCCTCTGTCTCAATCGTTCTGGTGCCGATTGGGAAGGGTTTGATTGTTGTCTGGCTGGTCCACTTCTTTGGGTCTCTACCCCTATTTCCTGGGGCCGCGGCGGGGGCACTTGGCCTTGCAGTCCCACCGCCACCTGATTTAGCGCCGCCGTCACTGCTTGTTGAATGGCATCGGCGGTCGCCTGGAGGTTCACGGCTTGGTTCGCCCCTCCATTGTTGAGTTGGTCTCGAAGGTCCCCGGGCCTCCCGTTGTTGAGATGTTCTCGGGGGTCCCTTCGCGATTGTTGGTGAGTTGGTCCCGGAGGTCACTTGAGGCATTGCCATTATTCACGTTGCGGGAACCGTGGGAGCTGCGGGACACCATTCTTTGAAGTTTGCTGTTGAAAGAGGAATGAGTTGTGTGTGTCGTCGCCTGCTTGAGTGTGGGACTCAGGCTCTCAATGAAAGCACCAATGACGGTAAATATATTACCGGTAATATTATTATGAGACTAATAAGTGACAATAATATTTGCTTTGTGTTTCAATAC